CCGCAGCACTCCTACGATGACGCTTCCCCCGTTCCAGAAAGGGGAAACCCTAACCTGTTTTCGTTTACAGTCAGCCCCAGCGATGTCTCCTGGTTGCAGGGATCGTCCCCTGCAGGAAGACGTGCAGTGATGCCCCTTTGACACTTTTGCCTAGGGCCCCGATGTTTAGCCCCACCCCACATGTTTTTTTTTTCCCTCCCTGTGGAAGTTTTTTTTTCCCTGCCATATGTTATATATGTTTTTATTTTTTTTTTCTGTGCCCGGGCCCCACGAAAAGGGGAGCCGATTTCCTTTTACCCCCCAGTAAATTTTTTGGTCGGGGCGAAAGCGTGGGAAAGGGGGCCCCCGGGGTATGTTTAAAAACCTGTACTGTCTGCACCCGACAGCCCATGCTTTTCGCCAGCTTAGGGCAATTTGCGCCACTCAGGTGCTGCCCTCTGAACCAGGCCTCTCGGGGGGCATGCCAGCCTGCCTGCCCCTTTCCTCTGCCTCACACACACAGTGGCCTAGCAGCAAGACACAAGTACTCCGAGCTCTCTCTCGTGGGATGGCCCTGCCCTGGGCCATGGGCACAAACACACAAGCCTGTGTACCCACCACGACTTAACAATAAACAAAGAAGCCTCCCAAAAGACGTATCCCTTTACTCCCCGCTACCAAAAACCCAAAAAAAACTCATTTTAAAAACGGGTTTAAAATTTTAAGCAAATAATGGCAGAGAGGTGGGCTGGTGCAAGTATGAGTAGTGGGGGGGTTGAAGAGGGTTGGAATAGCTTTAAAAATGCAGTATTAGAATGTGGGGCAGAAGTTTGTGGTTATAGGAGGGTGGGTGCAGGAGGAAAGAGGAGTGATTGGTGGAATGTAAGTAAAAAGGGGGGGGATAAAAGAGAAAAAATTTTGTAATGAGGGGGTTTTTTTCAAAGCAGAAGTGTTTTTAAGAAAAGTAGAGTATATGGAGAGTAAAAGAAAGGTTTAAAAAAGTGGGGAAGAGAGTGCCCAAAAAGGGGAAACAGTTGATAGAGTGGGGGAGGCACTGGTAAGAAATTTTAATGAAAAAAAAAGAAAACCTTTTTTTGGGGTGATTTTTAAACCCAAATTAAGAAGGGTAGAGAACAATGGATTTTTCAGTTAAAAAAAGAGTAGGGGATTAGTAGATGGGAGATGGGGGTTTTGGGTAGATGGCGAGAATATTTTGAGGAACTTTTAAATGTCGACGAAGAAAGGGAAGCGGTAATTTCATGCACTGGCCAGGGACGTATACCATCTTTTAGGAGTGAAGAAGAACAGGATGTGAGTATGGGGGAGGTGCGTGAGGCATTACGTAGAATGAAAGGGGGTAAAGCAGCTGGAACTGATGGGATCATGACAGAAATGTTAAAAGCAGGGGGGGGGGGTTATAGTGTTGGAGTGGTTGGTATTTTTGTTTAATAAATGAATGAAAGAGGGGAAGGTACCTAGGGATTGGCAGAGAGCATGTATAGTCCCTTTATATAAAGGGAAGGGGGACAAAAGAGATTGTAAAAAATACAGAGGCATAAGTTTACTTAGTATACTAGGAAAAGTGTACGGTAGGGTTATAATTGAAAGAATTAGAGGTAAGACAATGTAGGATTGCGGATGAGCAAGGAGGTTTCATAGTGCGTAGGGGATGTGTAGATCAAGTGTTTACATTGAAGCATATATGTGAACAGTATTTAGATAAAGGTAGGGAAGTTTTTATTGCATTTATGGATTTAGAAAAGGCAATATGATAGAGTGATAGAGGAGCAATGTGGCAGATGTTGCAAGAAATAGGAATAGGTGGTAAGTTATATAATGCTGTAAAGAGTTTTTATGAGGATAGTGAGGCCCTCAGGTTAGGGTGTGTAGAAGAGAGGGAGACTATTTCCCCGGGTAAAAGTAGGTCTTAGACAGGGATGTGTAATGTCACCATGGTTGTTTAATATATTTATAGATGGGGTTGTAAAGGAAGTAAATGGTAGGGTGTTCAGGAGAGGGGTGGGGTTAAATTTTGGGGAATCAAATTCAAAATGGGAATTGACAGTTACTTTTTGCTGATGATACTGTGCTTATGGGAGATTCTAAAGAAAAATTTGCAAAGGTTAGTGGATGATTTGGGAATGTGTGTAAAGGTAGAAAGTTGAAAGTGAACATAGAAAAGAGTAAGGTGATGAGGGTGTCAAATGATTTAGATAAAGAAAAATTGGATATCAAATTGGGAGGAGGAGTAATGGAAGAAGTGAATGTTTTCAGATACTTGGGAGTTGACGTGTCGGCGGATGGATTTATGAAGGATGAGGTTAATCATAGAATTGATGAGGGAAAAAAGGTGAGTGGTGCGTTGAGGTATATGTGGAGTCAAAAAACGTTATCTATGGAGGCAAAGAAGGGAATGTATGAAAGTATAGTAGTACCAACACTCTTATATGGGTGTGAAGCTGGGTGGTAAATGCAGCAGCGAGGAGACGGTTGGAGGCAGTGGAGATGTCCTGTTTAAGGGCAATGTGTGGTGTAAATATTATGCAGAAAATTCGGAGTGTGGAAATTAGGAGAAGGTGTGGAGTTAATAAAGGTATTAGTCAGAGGGCAGAAGAGGGGTTGTTGAGGTGGTTTGGTCATTTAGAGAGAATGGATCAAAGTAAATGACATGGAAAGCATATAAATCTATAGGGCAAGGAAGGCGGGTAGGGGTCGTCCTCGAAAGGGTTGGAGAGGGGGTAAAGGAGGTTTCTGGCAAGGGGCTTGGACTTCCAGCAAGCGTGCGTGAGCGTGTTAGATAGGAGTGAATGGAGACGAATGGTACTTGGGACCTGACGATCTGTTGGAGTGTGAGCAGGGTAATATTTAGTGAAGGGATTCAGGGAAAACCGTTATTTTCATATAGTCGGACTTGAGTCCTCGAAATGGGAAGTACAATGCCTGCACTTTAAAGGAGGGGTTTGGGATATTGGCAGTTTGGAGGGATATGTTGTGTATCTTTATATGTGTATGCTTCTAGACTGTTGTATTCTGAGCACCTCTGCAAAAACAGTGATAATGTGCGAGTGTGGTGAAAGTGTTGAATGATGATGAAAGTATTTTCTTTTTGGGGATTTTCTTTCTTTTTTGGGTCACCCTGCCTCGGTGGGAGACGGCCGACTTGTTAAAAAAAAAAAAAAAAAATACTCATTCCCGTCCAGATCTCTCTTAATCAGTGACCGGGCCATAAACCAAGGACTGTGTGAACAGGGAAAAAAAAGCAGGAAGTTAAATAAACATGAAATCGAAGTCCAAAATATTAGACAATACTTAAATGAACAACTGAAGTATGGAACATTACTTGTGGCCTTAACCCTTTCAGGGTCCAAGGCCCAAATCTGGAGTCACGCACCAGTGTCCAAGAATTTTCAAAAAAAATTTTTGTTATTTTTTCTTATGAAATCGTAGAGAATCTTCTTGTGAAGGTAATAAAACAAAAAGTATGAAATTTGGTGGAAAATTGACGAAATTATGCTCTCGCGAATTTTGATGTGTCAGCGATATTTACGAATCGGCGATTTTGCCGACTTTGACTCCCATTTTAGGCCAATTACATTATTCCAATCAACCAAATTCTTAGCTATTTCACTAGTATTACTTCTATTCTATCGATTGAGCACAAGAAATCGCCAAGTCAACTGTTTCAACTACAAATTAAAGTGATCGGGAAATTGTTAATTTGGCCAATTTAACACAAAGTTCAAAATATTCCAGTTTCAAAATAGGGTCCAGAATGAACAATGTAGGCATTTCCTGGCACTAAACTAACATTTCCTCTGTTCATTAAATTATGTTTTGAGGCTTTACAAATAAATTCCATTTTGATTTTTATTCACATAATGAATTTTTATTCACACCAAAAAATAGAAGATTTACTGTTATGCAATACTGTAATAATTGTATAAATATCATCACCATATTTGTGAATGTATATTAGACCCACCAGCTGATGTGTATTAGACGTGTGAGGTCGTTTGTTTTACTCTTGAATATCGGGAAAAATTTAACATTTCCGCTACTTTGAGCTCAGTTTCAAGCCATTTCCAATGCTAAAACCAATCAAAATCATCTCTATTTTCTGTAATATGTCTTCCATTCTATCAAATGAGACCAAGAAATCGCAAATACAACTATAAAAAAACATACGAAAAAACACTGCAAAGTTGCTGTTTTAATCGAAAAATCATGATTTCATTTTTTTTCTCTCATTATACACAGTGTGCTGCAGGATCTGTTTTATGTGGTGCACACATACCACATAGATGTATTCTCTCATATCTAGGCCCAAATGTACCACTCACAGTTTATCAGAGTGAGCTGAGCTCATGGCGTAGATCTACGGTTTGGACCCTGAACGTAAAGCCGTAGATCTACGGGACGGACCCTGAAAGGGTTAAACAAATATAATGTAATAAGTATACCTGCACATAAACTTAATTCTCAAGAATATACTACAATACTTGTGTGGACTAACTGACGAGTGTAGGGATTGTGAGGAGTCAAAAGACACCTCCAAAAAAAGAAAGAAAAAATGGCAAAACATTGGAAAAATAAAAATGTCAGCCCATTTACTTTACAGGCATTATGTAGAAGTTTTAGATATTTTATTCAATTGTCATGTTATAGAACATTTTTACAAGAATATTTTAATCATTTGATTAGTTTTTTAATTTTTGGTACCAGTAGTCCATTCTGTGATTTAATTGGTAAAATTAATTCGTAGTTACCATATCATGTGACATATGAGATGCACCGGCATATAGGATGTACCCTACATTTGGACTGAAATATGTCCGTTTTTTTTCCGTTGTTCTCTTTGTTAAATGGAATTATTTGTAGATCCTAAGCTTGATCCCCAAGCTTCACCCTCACCCCGTGTAGGATACAAGGTGAGCATCAGAATTTTGAAAAAAAAGCGTGTCTTATATGCTGCGAAATATGGTATTTAACCTGCTGAATTCATCTTGAGTATATAATTACAGATGTCTGGAGCAGAGATGGGAGGTATGGTACGCCTGCTTGGAGTAGGAGAACTTGCGAGGTGGGTGGCAACACTAGGAATAACAGGAATTCTCATGATGATTGTATTAGTCGTCATGATTGGAGTAGCTCGCCACTCCCGATGTACTCTAATCACGTAAGTTGTTTTCAGTTGTTTCCCTTCATAAACTACACTATGCCATACTTGATTTTAGCACTTAAGTATAACAAGGAAAGCTTAACAGTATATTGGTTCATTTTTAAAAAATAGACCATAATTATGCAGTGTGAATTTTTTCTATCTTATTCACATTTTTTTTAGGTGTAGATGCCACACCACTGGAGCATATTATAATTTTGGCTTAACATCTATATTTCTGAGTTGTTTGAATACCTGGGAAGCCTCTGGGTTGGCACACTTCTTATATTGGTTCTAAGATCTTTCCTTTTCATGGCTATCCAGAATGTGCCTTTAAGTCATTCTTTTTATTTAGTTTTTCCTTCTTTTACTTAATTAACTTTTTTATTCTGTTTCTGTGTATGTTAAAGGACTCATGATATACGGTAGTTCATTTATATCTGTTTAGTTTAGTGTACCTGGAATAGCCGTACTGTCTAGTATCATCATTTTATATTTTTTAACAAATTGGTTGTCTCCCCTGAGGTAGGGTGACCCAAAAAAGAAGAAACGCATTCACTATCATTCACTCCATCACTGCATTGCCAGAGGGAAGCCATTACTACAGTTCAAAGCTGCAAATATCCCCACCTCTCCTTTATTTTAATCTGGTCTTATTTGTGTGACATTTTTCTCTCCAAATTATATCTAACATAATATGTTATTTCCAGTAGAATGTTTGCTCTCTCCAGGTGGGTTTTGATGTACATACTTTGTTGAGGATTTTTCCTGTTTCTCTGGTAATTACCAAGTTTAAATATTCATGGTGTTTTGCCTTCTCTCACTCTAGTCCGTCCTTTAATATGCTGATGCATAAAAAATAATCATCATTTATTTTACTATTTTTTTATTACACATCGGCCGTTTCCCACCAAGGCAGGGTGGCCCAAAACAGAAAATTACAGCATCATTATTCATTCCATCACTGTCTTGCCAGAGGCATGCTTACACTACAGTTATAAAACTGCAACATTAACGCCTCTCCTTCAGAGTGCTGGCACTGTACTTCTTATCTCCAGGAATCAAGTCTGGCCTGACAGTTTCCCTGAATCCATAAATGTTACCTTGCTTACACTCCAATAGAACGTCAAGTCCTAAAAATCATTTGTCTCCATTTGCTCCTATGTAACATGCTCATGCATGCTTGCTTGAAGTCCAAGCCCCTCACACACAAAACCTCCTTTACCTTCTCCTTCCCAACCATTCCTAGGCCAACCCCTACCCTGCCTTCCCTCCACTGCAGATTTAAATACCCTCAAAATCATTCTATTTTGTTCCATCCTCTCTACATGTCCATACCATCTCAATAACCCCTCCTCAGTCCTCTGGATAATAGTGTTGGTAATCCCACACTTCCTCCTAATCTCCAAACTATGGATTCTCTGCATTATATTCACACCACACATTGCCCTCAGACATGACATGTCCACCGCCTCCAGTCTCCTCCTTGTTGCAACATTCACCACCCTCATACTCTCATACATTCCTCTCATTGCTTTCTTGGATAAAGTTCTTTGTCTCCACAGACTCCTAAGTGCACCTCTCACCTTTTTCCCGTCGTAAATTCTATGATTCACCTCATCTTTCATAGACCCATCTGCTGACACGTCCACTCCCTGATATCTGAATACACTCGCCTCCTCCATACTCTCTCCCTCCAATCTGATATCCAATCTTCCATTACCTAATTGTTTTGTTATCCTGAGTAAGGTGATGAGGATAACAAAAAAATTGGAGGGACAGAGTATGGAGGAGGTAAGTGTATTTAAATATTTGGGAGTGGATGTGTCAGAAGATGGGTCTACGAAAGATGAGGTGAATCATAGAATTGATGAGGGGACAAAGGTGATTGGTGCACTGTGAAGTCTGTGCAGACAAAGAACTTAACCCATGAAAACAAAGACGGGAATGTATGAGAGTATAATTACACCAACGGTTTTGTATGGGTGTGAGGCATGGGTGGTGAATGTTGCAACAAGGAGGAGGCTGGAGGCAGTGGAAATGTCATGTCTGAGGGCAATGTGTGGTGTGAATATAATGCAAATGATCCAAATTATATTGAAGAATTTTGTTAACCATTTGTTCACTTTTCCTGCCTCATAGGCTTTGCTGTTTATTTCTTGATGGTTGACATCCCTTATTACTGACTTCATTGCTTTTGTTAATTTTTTCAAGCGTTTAACATTACTGTATAGAATGTATTTTTGTGTAAATCTTTTAATGTAATTCTGTATTTTCTGAATCTTCTACTACCTGATAATTTTAATTTTGTTGATGAACTTGTTTGTTTGAGTCACTCAGGCATAACAAGAAACAGTTATGTTACAGTGTAACTTCATGTACATCCACTTGCTTTATGAATGTAATCCTTAATTAACTGTCTTTACACAAGTGTTAATGCTTACAGATTTTCTGTTCTGGGACTTCTTGCTATGATCCTGTGTTGGGGTTTGACTTCAGTCTACTTAGTGGCATCTGTTGTGAGTATTTAATGAATGCACTTGAATATAATGTCCTCTATGACTTAATGATCTTTTGCTTTATTTACAAACCAGTTTTGCAACTTACAAATAAGTTTACAATGAATGCAAATGTTTGACTAATGTTTTATTTTGAGTAAACAAACTAATTTGAAATCTAGCTATTAAATTTATTTGATAAGCGTTATTAGTTTTTAGTGTTGGTGTAGACGTGCAGACCATGAATTCAGAAGTAGCATATTGATATTTAGACAATGATATGTATTTTACTGTACATGTCTGAAAAGCAGCTGTACCTGTTTATACAGTAGTAGCACAGGAAAGTGATTAGTATGCTGTCAGTAGTTCAAAATATGCAATGCTATATGTTTCTTAAAATTTCATGCAGGCTTTGTCAGACTGGTGTATGGATCCTAACCCTTTCTTGGAGGACCAACTCAGCAAACTGGTGTCCAGAGATGTTGCTGCTTACTACCTACGATGTGATCCAACACGACCATCACCATTCACACGCTATCTAACTCATGCCCAGCAGGCAGCAAATCTTGTCCTGGCATCCCTCAATAAAGTCACTCGTATTGCTGATATTTACTACGAACGAAAAGAGGTCAGTAATGATACGGTATGTAATAGTTTGGGTTTTATGTACAGTACATTATACTTGTAATTAATAGACACATAAGCAGTATGCAGACTTTTATAAACAGATAACACTTTGCTTGGATCAAAGCTTATAAAATCTTGTAGTCATTACTGTACAGTACAAAACAGTGTGTAATAAATTTTCTTTTAAATTTGGGTTCATTTTGTATTTCAAGAGACCATTTCTCTTCAAATATTCCTGTAATATTAAAATTTACACTCATAAGAAAGAATGACACGATAGAAAAGAGATTTGTTATGAACAGTCATTTAGCTCATTCTAAACAAAATCTTATGGTTAGCTTTTAGTTTAGGGATTGTGCATGAAACTACCCAACAATGGGCACTGCAATAAAAATAACATACTTAATCAAATGTGTTCAAGGTTGCTCATCAGTAAAATTGCTGGATAATTGAATTATGCAGATTAGGAACCATCTGACTTGGCAAGCTGAATGTACATATAATATACATGTATATTAACACAATTCCCATATTACATTAATGGATAAATGTGAAGCAAAGATGCACAGTCTGTGGCCCATTGGCCACATGCAACACTTGAGTAGCACAACTGTGGCACTTGATGTCTTGTGTAATACTAGTAATACTAGCCTTGTGACACTCAGTATCTTTCATTAATTTTACTCTGTTTGTAAACTGTTAGTTGTATACCTTTTTTACTGAATATTTAGTGAATATCCGTGATATTTATAGAGCCCATTCAATTCCCAACTTAACCCTTAAACTGTCCAAACATAGATCTATATTTACGTTTGTAGCACTCTGACCTTCATTTTCTCCATTTGAAAGCACAAAAAAAGTAGATCTACGTTCGGAGCGCTATGCGAGCGAACATAGATCTACGTTTGGACAGTTTAAGGGTTAATAGTACTGTAACTGCAAGCCATCATCTGAGTGTTTGGAATTTTGATGACACTAATAAATATGCCGGAATTACGTGTATATATTAAGCTGATCTGATCACGTTATATTTCTCTTGAGTGCGTAACAACCATTGTGATTTTTATTTTTCCAGATCCATCCTCGCTTGGATCATTTAGGCGCATTTGTTAACCAATCACAGCGTAGTCTGGGAGGTGTTGCAGCACTGTTGGAGTGTCAGTCATTGCACCACCACTACCGCACAGCTCTCACTGCCACATGCCAGCAAGCTATGTGAGGATTATATTTTTTATAACATTACTGGTAGTTGGCTGTGTCCTACAAGTGCAATTTCAAACATATAATATGTTAGTATGTTAGCCTAACTTAGGAGGTTCTAGTCTACAGGTAGTGAGAAATTACAGTGCTTAACTTAAGAATTCCTGTGTACTGCTGACAAGGAATTACAGGGCTTAACCTGTACATACTACCCTATCATTAGTACAGTATATATTTTAAGAAATTAAAATTATTGTGAAAGGTTATTTTTTATACTTTTTAGCCTTTTAAGGTTTCATTGCAATTACAGATTTAGGAAAGGCATATGATAAGGTGGATAGAGAGTGATGTGGCAGAATTTGCAAATGTATGGAATAGGGGGTAAGTTACTTAAAGCAGTAAAGAGTTTTTACGTGATAACGAGGCAAAGGTTAGGATGTTAGGATATGTTGAAAAGGAGATTATTTCCCAGTGAAAGGTATGTGTAATGTAACCATGGTTGTTTAATATGTTTATAGATTTTTTTTTTTTCAACAAGTTGACCATCTCCCACCGAGGCAGGGTGACCCAAAAGAAAGAAAATCCCCAAAAAGAAAATACTTTCATCATCATTCAACACTTTCACCTCACTCATACATAATCACTGTTTTTGCAGAGGTGCCCAGATTCTACAGTTTAGAAGCATATATAAAGATATATAACATATCCCTCCAAACTGCCAATATCACAAATCCCTCCTTTAAAGTGCAGGCATTGTACATCCCATTTCCAGTACTCAAGTCCGGCTATATAAAAATAACCGGATTCCCTGAATCCCTTCACTAAATATTACCCTGCCCACACTCAAACAGCTCGTCAGATCACAAAAACCATTCGTCTCCATTCACTCCTATCTAACACGCTCACACATGCTTGCTGGAAGTCCAAGCCCCTTGCCCACAAAACCTCCTTTACCCCCTCCCTCCAACCTTTTCGAGGATGACCCCCTCCCCCACCTTCCTTTCCCTGCAGATTTGTATGCTCTCCATGTCATTCTACTTTGATCCATTCTCTCTAAATGACCAAACCACCTCAACAACTCCTCTTCAGCCCTCTGATTAATACTTTTATTAATTCCACACTTCCTCCTAATTTCCACACTCCAAATTTTCTGCATAATATTTATGAATGTATGAAAGTATAGTAGTACCAACACTCTTATATGGGTGTGAAGCTTGGGTTGTGAATGCAGCAATGAGGAGGCGGTTGGAGGCAGTGGAGATGTCCTGTCTAAGGGCAATGTGTGGTGTAAATATTATGCAGAAAGTTCGGAGTGTGGAACTTAGGAGAAGGTGTGGAGTTAATAAAAGTATTAGTCGGAAGGCTGAAGAGTGGTTGTTGAGGTGGTTTGGTCATTTAGAGAGAATGGATCAAAGTAGAATGACATGGAGAGCACTTAAATCTGTAGGAGACGGAAGGCGGGGTAGGGGTCGTCCTCGAAAAAGGTTGGGAAAGGAAGGGGTAAGGGAGGTTTTGTGGGAGGGCTTGGACTTCCAGCAGGGGTGCATGAGCGTGTTCGATAGGATGAAAGGAGACGAATATATTTGGACTTGACGATCTGTTGGAGTGTGAACAGGGTAATATTTAGTGAAGGGATTCAGGGAAACCGGTTATTTTTTTATAGCTGGACTTGAGTCCTGGAAATGGGAAGTACAATGCCTGCACTCTAAAGGAGGGGTTTTGGGATATTAGCAGTTTGGAGGGATATGTTGTGTATCTTTATACATATATGCTTCTAAACTGTTGTGTTCTGAGCACCTCTGCAAAAACAGTGATTATGTATGAGTGAAGTGAAAGTGTTGAATGATGATGAAAGCATTTTCTTTTTGGGGATTTTCTTCCTCTTTGGGTCACCCTGCCTCGCTTAGGGCCAGGACATCCAACTTCTTTTCATTCATAACATCAGCAATCATCTGTTTCTTGTCATCCGCACTACATCCACGCACATTCAAGCATCCCAGTTTTTTAAAGTTTTTCTTCTTCTCTTTTTTAGTAAATGTCTACAGGAGAAGGGGTTACTAGCCGATCGCTCCCGGCATTTTAGTCGCCTCATACGACACGCATGGCTTACGGAGGAAAGATTCTTTTCCACTTCCCCATGGACAAAAAGAAGAAATAAAGAAGAACAAGAGCTATTTAGAAAAAAGAAAAAACCTAGATGTATGTATATATATAAAGCATGTGCGGTTTTTGTAAGTGGGGCCAAAGGTAAGAGGATTTGCAAGAAAAACCCGTTTTCTAGCATTTTTTGGGGACCCGAAAAAAACCCCGCAATCCTAAAACCCTAAAGCAAAAACAGTTACAGGTTTTTTGTTTTTAAAAGTCATCTGGGCCCGGACGTAAATACTTCCCCCCGGGGGGTTGCTTTCTTTCTATTTTTTTTTTTTTTTTCACAAACTATTTTAAAAGGGTTTAAGGGGTTCCTAAAATTTTTTTGGGGATGCTAAGAGCTTTTTTTTACCTACATCACTCATTTTAAAGCATTTTTATTATTAAAGAGACAAAAATTAAGGGGAAAGGATGAATTTTGGGGGGGCCCTCTGGGGCCCCATTTTTTATTTTACCAACTGACTTTAAACCCCGTTTAAAAAACATTTAAAGCTGTACAATTTTGTTCCAAAATTTGGTCCCTCCTGGGGATAATTTTGATCTCAGATGGATTTATGTTTTGGAGAAAGGGTTTCAGCCAGAGTGAAGTTGCTGGCTTTTTCTGGCCCCCCTCCCCTTTGGGATAAAAGCTTGTTTCACCAATTCCCCTTTTTGGGAAATGGGGAACCAAGTGTGGGAATTTTTACAATATTGGCCTTTTCCCTAAAAAAGGGCCCCTCACCCCTCCCCCTGTGTTCAAGGCCTGCGAAAAGACAGATCAAAACCCCGGATGGGGCCAGGCAGAGATGAAAGTCTTCTCTGTTCTCTTCCGGGGCAAGGGATCCCCCAAAAAGAAGGGGGGCAGGCAAACCAAGGAAAATGGGGTATACTCAAGGTTTTAGCGTTCTTGTGCCTCTTTCAGAATCTTGCAACCCCTGCTGTCAAGCAGATGCGAGATACGGCAAAGTGCTGTAAGCTTCCTGGCTGCCTTGTTTGCAAGA